TCCTGTTTCTTTTGCCTTGTTCTGTGTATATGAGTCCGCGTCTCCCTATGTATGCCAGATCCGGCATTGTAGTGTCTCGTCAATGTCCAAGCGTGTCTCTCCTTGGATCATTAAAACCCCTGTTTACCCGACTTCCTGGCTGTTCTCGTCTGCTTCCCGGCTCGCCGTCTCCGAACGTGACAGAATGCCGGATCTCCCAAACAACACAACGCGGGAGACCGAGCACCACCGGCTCGGTCTCCTGCAAGACTTTGTGTTTTGGCGCTCCCAACCCGAAGTACTGGAGGATCCTGTAGCCCTGGAGCTGGCCACCCGGGGGGCGGACCTCCTCACGGAGGAGCGCCCACCCGGACAGCAGTACCCGCTCGAGCGGGCGCGCAAACTACTACGCCGTCTAAAGGGCAGAAATATACTTGCTGTTAACTACGTACGTCTATACGTACGTACAGCCGCGGTCCGTATCCTGCGTTCTTTGTGTCGGTTTTTGTGCACGTACTCAAAAATTAACGGAACGTATACGGAGATGCAATACCTGCGTAAATTATAGGGGGCATTGTTGCGAGATCTGCACCTGTTGATTGAGCAAGTCCGCAATTATCCTCATTTATATGACGTGACAGAACCTCTTCATAGTAACAAAATAGCATGTAATAATACTTGGCAAGAGATTTCAAACATCTTGAATGTTAATTCGGAAATTTGTAAAAACAAGTGGCGACAAGTGTTTGAGCGTGGAAAAAGTTAGCCGCGAAACGAAGCGGTGATCCTGCTGACCCGGTGTTTTGCCCAGCAATTATCCGCCGTCACACATTGCGATCAAAATAAAACTAAAATACCCCTTGTATTTGTAAAACTGGCTGCTGCTGTTTCGTGGTGCTCGTACCCTGACGTGTTTCCCATCGATTGATCCTAAACAATTGGGATAATTCCATAAAGACAAAAAATCCCCCTTAATGCTTTGCCATTTTGTTTGATCAGGGTATGCAACAAGCTTGTTTTTAACGATACCCATATTGCTTGGGACACTTCACTGACAATGCGTCCAACTGTGGCTGAGCCAAGCTTGTAACTGGCTGCAAGGGCTCTATAGCTCATCCCAGCTGTGAGAAACCGAAGGGTGACAGCCAGTTGCTGAGCGCTGCCTATTGGGTTACTGAGGATCTGATTGTGTTCAATATGAGGACGAATTCGACGGAGCAATTCGTCAAACATTTTAGGGGACATTCGGAAATATTCCCGGTGTTTTTCCTCGTCAATGTCTCTCATCAGCAAAACCAGAGAAAAGAATTCCCCATTTTGCTGACGAAATCTAATGATCGAATGTACCATCTCTGCGATTTGCGTTTTCTAATCTGGTGCAGTATAATGAAGATTAATATTTCTTCGACTGAAGACATATTTGTTCGTAATAACAGATGACGATTTTAAGATACAGCAGGTATTCATTTATTTGGTTTGCGGCCTCGACACTGACCCCTGGTGGTAAGGAGTACATACTACAGATTACGACGCACAGTACGGACGCAAGTATATCAGCACAAACGTTATCAACGCAACTGTGTACGGATACGCATACGTAGCTTACAGCAAGTATATTTCTGCCCTTAGTGAGCGTCTCACGCGGCGGAGAGGCGAACGCGTCGCCCGGAGCCTGGGCGAAGTGTTCGCGGCGGCTCCGCTTTCTGCTGCAAGCGGCAAGAAGAGGCGGAACAAAAACAGAGAGCAGCAGGAAGAGGCTCCGACTCTCTTCCTGGGGGCTTGCACTCTGCTCCCCGCCTGGGAGTTAGCCAGGGAGCACGAGGGCTCACCGCTCCCCTGGGATGACTTCGCCGCTACCCGCCTGCTCGGCGTCCACTGTGAGATGCCGCCTCCGCGGGAGGCATATCC